GAATTGAAAAAAAAAAAAAAAACTTACCAGTTTTTGCTGGTGGTTCTTGAAATGCATCTGCTAATATTGATCCTTTTCCTGTTCCAAATTCACCATCAAAATCAGAGGGCGGTAATGCAGGAAGCAATCCGGAATTTTTCAATTCTGGTTCTGAATTAGCCGGTGATGTTACGCTAAAATATTCCTCAGATTGTGATGAAGTTGCTTTTGTTGTTTCAATCGGTGAATCTGTACTGTCCATTTTTTTTGTTGTTGCGCTGAAATTCCAATGTTTGTAAATAATAATTTCCGGAAAATGATTTTTGTACCGGAAATGGGTAATTCAAAAGCAGTCAATTCCTGAGTATTTCTCTCAAATCTCAATATTCATAAATTGCAAGATCTGGAAAATGATTTTTAATATCCGCACGAATTATTAAAAATGGAATACTTATAGAAAAATAAAGACAAAAAATTCACCTATCAGGACTATTTGTCGATTGCTTATGATCACTGTTATCAAAAATGTCAACAGATGCCTGACTAAAATCAACCGGTGGTGGTTTACCGCCACCAAATTCCATCAGGCCAGATTCATCAATCGGAAATCTACCAGTACCAAATCCTGTAAAAAAAAGATTGAAAATAAAAAAATAACCTTCAAAGAAAAATATTTCAAATTTAAATTTTCGTTTGCTTATGTTTGAAATTTCAAAAATTTTGAAAAATTTTGAAATTTTTTCCTTTTATTTCTCCAACTATTTTATTTCATTATTTCTTTATTATCTTTTTTTATTATTACCTTTTTTCTCTATTACTTTTTCTTTCCTTACTATCTTTTTTTTTTAATTTACTTTTTTTTTTTCTTTTGGCATAATCTCTTGTAAATGTCATATCTGTTTACTTGCTTATTTTCTTTTTGTACAGACATATAACTGCTTATTTTCTCATTTTCTTTTTATAAAGAAATATAATTATTGTAATAGTAACATTTGAAACATCAAATAAAATAAGTAAAATAGGTTATTCTTTCATAAAAATTTAGCACAAACTTTCCTGCCATTTACCCTCTCTCCCCCTCTACTCCTCTCTCTCTCTCTCTCTTTCTCTCTTTTCCCTTCTTACAATAAAACCTTTTTTCATCCTTTCCTCATTATCTTTTTCACTATATCTCGTCAAACTATTTCTATTCCCTAATTCTTTGACCTCTTTTCCTTGCTATCTTTAAGTATGTTTGTTAGGATGAATTTGTGTTAAATAACAATTCTGACCAAAATATCACGCATTATAGTTTAATCTTTCGGATTTATAAATTTAATTGCAGTTTTAGAAATTTCCAACAAAACTGAAATGAGAAAGGAAAATTCCAGTTATTACTAACTAACCATTTGCATCATCTGTTTCTCCAACTTCATTCTCCAAATTTAGTGGTTCAAGTTGAGGTAAAATAATTGGATTTCGTCCAAAAGCTGTTTGATTACCTCTTAATGGTCCTTTCTCGTCTTAAAAAAAAAGGATGAAATAAAACAAAAAAAAAAAATGAAAAATTGCATTCATTATTTTGTATGATAATATATGTTCATATAATGTGCAGTTTTTTGATGCGCATTTCAACTTCTATAAAAGCTTCATTTTTTCTTGATTTTTTAAATTTTAACTTTTATTAAACTTA